TGTTTGGTGGAGATAATGCCTTCTTCCAAATTATTCTGCATTCATGGATTGGAGTTAATGCGTAAATATAATATTTATTTCATATTTCTGGACATTTTTTTGAGTATATGATCAATTCACATGATAGATTACATCTATGGGAAGCCAAAAAAACAAAAATCCAAAAATCTCAAAAAGTGGAGTTAATGCCTTTTTCCAAATTACGGCAGCATTGTTTAGTCAATTGGCAATCCACGATACAATAGTGGGATCAAGGCGAAATGTATGGGATAAACAATAACAGTCCATGGGGCACTGAATCAAATGCACGACAAATGTCAACCGAGAGTAGTCTGGAAATAAGGTTCGAATCAGCAGATTTAAAAAGGTTATGGGTAACATAAAGTAAAGAATCAATTGTAGATTTACCCGAACGAAAGCCATACTGAAATTTAGACAACCTATCATTAATTTGAGCATTAATCCGCGTACTAATAATACCTTCAAAAAGTTTACAAAAGGGAGAGGTAACAGAAACAGGACGATAATTAGAAAAATTTGATTTACTTGAACTCTTATAGAGGGGATGAACAATTGCATTTTTCCAGTCAGCTGGGATGGAACATAGATTTAAAGAAAAAGTAAAAAAGGAACTCAGAAATCGTTCACAGAAAGGGGCAATAATTTTTGAAATAAAATTACTTAGGCCATCAGGACCAGGAGATTTTGATGAGCTTAATTTGGAAGCAGCATTCTTTATTTCTTCAATAGAAACATCAGGGCAATCAAACAAGGAAAGGGGTAGACAGGAGTTAGGAATACTAAATGGAAAGTCACTAGAACATTGCGAAGAAAATTGAATATTAAAGCGGGAGGCTATTTCAAAGGAATCGTTAACTTGGACACCCTCGGCAGTTATAAAGGAAGTTGCTGATTTCTTTTTACTTGGAAGAATTTTATTGATTTCAGACCACCAATCACAAGTCCCATGCTTTAAATGACCGATAATTTGGTCATGATAATTCTTTTTCGCCCTGCGAATTTGACATCGTACCCATCCTTTTAAAACAGAATATAAATCTCTATCGTTAAACCAAGCCCACTGTCTATATAAAATTTAACGTTTAAGACCAGGATTTAACCACTTAGCATCGTTAATATGTCTCCGAACCGTACGGAACCCCAAACAGGTCCGTAACAACAATTTAATATGATTTAAAAAATAACCGGTTAGCAGACATGTCACCTATATCAATAGTTCAGACATGTCACCTATATCAATAGTTCAGACCTAAAGTAAATTTGTACAAAAACCAAAGTCAATGAAAACACTAATTTTTTTTATTTGATAAATCTAAGTGAGTAAATCTTAAAAGCTATTATTTTTAGGTTTTCTTTTTTTTTTCCAGGGCCAGTTTGTAGAATTCTGAAATGCGAGGATGCAACTCGATGTGAAATAAAGGAGGCGATTGAATACTTTCTTAATAACTTTTGTGAAAAATATTAGGGAAAAAGGCATTCGTACTGTCTGTTACTATGATTCATTGTGAATCTATTTACGATTCTTATTGATACACTCTTGCATGGACCCTATCAATTTGAGGATATTCATAATCTGTAAAAACTTTAAATATGTGATATTCTCAATGCTATCAAAGCGATGGAATACTCTTACTTTCCAAGGAGCTGGAGAAATTGAATTGTATACTTATTGAGGGACATTAAGAAATTTGGATTTCATTTACCACTATTTTGTATTTGCAATTGACAATTGCTTTCTCTACAAAATGTGTTAAATGAAATAACCGTTTTGTTTAATCATTGCAGTGAAATTATTTTGTACTATACGTACAATTGAAAAGTTTTATTTTCAGAAAAGGAGTAATTTGTTGAAATGTACATCTAGCTCATGGTCATCGCCAATATTCAAACCAGTTAGAAGCCAAGTCAGAAATGTGTGACCTCCATATTTGTTCTATCTGGGCCATGTCAGCTAAACCATACAGGCTCCCATATGGGCAAACCAATATGCCATCCATATGAGCCAGAAAATATGGGCCTCACATATGGGACACCTATTATATAGCACCCATGTGCAGTTGCAATGGGTGCCATATTTGTCCCACATGGGGCTTTGGTGGAGAATACGAGGGGCTCCATATGGGCAAACCCATATTACATCCATATGGGCCAGAAATTAATGGGCCCCATATACCACCCATGTACAAATGCATGAGGGTACCATGTTGGCCTCATATGGGGTCTCTGAAAGATGTGGGCCCCCACTTGGGGCTTGGGTGCAGAATCCGGAGGGTGCCTTAGGGGCTAGTCCATATGGTATCCATGGGTCGGGAAATATGGTTCCATATGGGCCCCAAATGGGTTATATCTGGGCTATGGGCTAAACCACATGTGCCCCACATGGGGCTTGGGTGCAGAATCCGGAGGTTTCCTCAAGGATAGTCCGTATGGTACCATATGGGTCTGGAAATATAGGTCCCATATGGGAAACCCATATGCCACCCATGTAAACATGCACGTGGGTTCCATATGGTCCCCAAATGGGTTATATCTGGGCTATGGGCTAAATCAGATGTGCCCCACATGGATCTTGGGTGCAGAATCCGGAGGTTTCCTCAAGGATAGCACATATGGTACCCATATAGATCTGCATATGGGCACCATATGGGTCCCTTATGGGCTTGTTACCTGGGTAACATAGCAATATGACTTAAATATGTTACTTACCATTAGGAAAACTATAATAGTAGCAGACAGGAAGAAAATAATTTTTGATCTATAAAGACTCATATCACAAACTCAAAAATTACCAACAACGATAACAAAAACGGTCAGCAAGGTCCACTCATCGGTAGTACAGTATTCAATAATTATTCAAAACTGTATATCAGTGGGTATAATGACATGACATTGTGTGCTGTGCTTTAAGAGGGCGCTGCACTTCGTTCCCTCGAAATTATTTTGAGGGAATGAAATCGTTTCGAGAGAACAAAATAGTATTTCGTCCCCTCGAAATAATATTTTGTTCTCTCGAAATATTATTTCGTTCCCTCAAACTAATATTTCTTTCCCCCGAAATAATATTTCGCTCCCCTGGAGCGGGCACCTGAGTAATACTTCGTTCCCTCGAAATAATATTTCGTTCCATCGAAATAATGATTTTAGGTATAGAAAGTCATTAACATACTTCTGAAGAAAGTGCATATTCCTCGACACCTGGATAACATTGTTTTTTTCCGGGCGAGCCTCCTCTAACTGTCTACAGCATCCAGTCTGCTTTATTCATTTTGTCTCCTTGCACCCCGACTACAGAACCTTGCTGGTCCCCGGGCCCTTATGAGCTCACCTCCTCTCATAAGATACAAAAAAATAAAACACGTCTTCCTTGGACAGAACTTTGATTAAAATAGTTATAAAAATATAGATAGAATATATTTCTTAAATTATTGTTATTACTGTACTGTTATTGTTGATATTATCATTTATTATTATTATTATTATTATTACCATCATCATAATCATCATCTCCATAATAATTAGTTATCATCATCATAATATCATTCTTCATCTTTTTAACGTCTTCCGTCTTGCGAAATTACGCTTTCCACAATTTCTTTTCATTTGTTTATCATTATCACTACCATTATCATTACTCAAAAGCACACGATTACTTTAAAATCATAAAAGTTAAACATGCAATAATTATTATCTAAATTTCGACTGTATCACGTTGTATTGTCGGCAATAAATTTTAATTGATTCCTTGATTTAAGACCGAATAATGCCTATACCAGACCCCGATAAGGTGAAATTTATAAAAGTTTATAATGCTAATGGTCTACAACGCATAATACGCGGCCTCTAAAGCGATGTAGAGAAAGCAATAGTAAAATCTATTTTAATAGGACAACTAGCTAACCATGCTAAAAAAAAATTCCGAAACAGACGCCTGCACAGAGGAAGCAACAATTTTGCACCGTTCACCTGATAGGTTTTTTTTTTCAATTTGGGAATAAATAAATAAATTTTTGAAATAGATTGACGTCACATTTGAATAAGCACATGTTTTGCTTGGACAACGTTTGAAGAAGATCCATACACTGAAAGTGCAAATACTGGACAGAAAAGCCCTGAGTAAACACATAGCAAGCTGGGATTTAAAAAACAAACAAACAAACAAAGAGCGCAGAATCCTGGATTGTAGATGGGAAGTTCAATAATTTTTTTGAAATATAATGACGTCACATTTGAATATGCACATGTTTTGCTTGGACAACGTTTGAAGAAGATCCATGCACGGAAAGTGCAAATACTGGTCAGAAAAGCCCTGAGTAAACACATAGCAAGCAGGGAAAACCCCACCCCCCCCAAAAAAAAAAAAAAAAAACAAACAAAAAAACAACAAACAAACAAAGAGCGCAGAATCCCGGATTGTAGATGGGAAGTTCAATCCCTATAGACGCAGCGGCGCGGACCCCCAACGGCCTCTCTGCTCTCCGTACCCTCTAGTGGTAAATAGTATGCTGATGTATATACAGTAAGAGTAGAAAAATCATTTAAATTTAAGAACTCAATAATACTTTGGAATTGTACATGACACACAGACATATGTAAGAATATTGTATACTCATAAATAAAGAGGACATAAGCAACAGTTTAGTAAAATTTCAGATTTTATTGATCGATGCTATATAATATGCCTATATAATTTTTTAATTTTTCCATTTCAAACGAGTGACTACTGATTTTTTTTATGCTCAACTCAATTAATGACCCACTATTATCTGACTATTTGAATGGCGAATTTTGGTTGATAATGTTAATTTGAGTAAAAAAAAGTTTCCCGCATTTGGCCGTGAGAGGGCGTGTGTTCGTGAAACCACGCGCGAAGCCTGTCTATCTAGCTGGCATTGCAACCCTGGTAATCGCGCCGACTGGCCTGGTGAAAGCTGAGAGTAGAGTTATCTAGGACCTAGGCCTAGGCCTAGTTCGTTCCTCTTTGGTGACAGCAAAACATCTATAAACGTTACAATGAATTCAAAAGTAAGTTACCTAGGCAAACTCCCTGTACAGCTGGGCTTAGGGCTAACCTACTAGCTACTACTACTAGTCTCTAGGATAGCTGAAATTCAGTGAGTCGCTTAGCCTACTTACTTTGGCTAGGTTACTAGTCTAGGCCTAGAGAGGAGGAGCAGGCTTAGATAGTAG